GACCCTGCCTGCTGTATACCCAGCTCTGCACCGCGCCTGCTGTACGCCCAGCTCTGCACCGCGCCTGCTGTATGCGCAGCTCTGGACCCTGCCTGCTGTATACCCAGCTCTGCACCACGCGTGCTGTACACCCAGCTCTGCACCGCGCCTGCTGTATGCGCAGCTCTGGACCCTGCCTGCTGTATACCCAGCTCTGCACTGTGCCTGCTGTACACCCAGCCCTGCACCGCGCCTGCTGTATACCCAGCTCTGCACTGTGCCTGCTGTATACCCAGCTCTGCACCGCGTCTGCTGTACACCCAGCCCTGCACCGCGCCTGCTGTATACCCAGCTCTGCATCGCGCCTGCTGTACACCCAGCTCTGCACCGCGCCTGCTGACACCCAGCTCTGCACTGTGCCTGCTGTATACCCAGCTCTGCACTGTGCCTGCTGTACACCCAGCTCTGCACCGCGCCTGCTGTACACCCAGCTCTGCACTGTGCCTGCTGTATACCCAGCTCTGCACCACGCGTGCTGTACACCCAGCTCTGCACCCCGCCTGCTGTATACCCAGCTCTGCACCGCGCCTGCTGTACACCCAGCTCTGCACCGCGCCTGCTGCACACCCAGCTCTGCACCGCGCCTGCTGTACACCCAGCTCTGCACTGTGCCTGCTGTATACCCAGCTCTGCACCGCGCCTGCTGTATACCCAGCTCTGGGCCGTTGCGGGGTGCAGGACCCCATCCGTGGTCCTGCTCCGTGTGAGGTGACTCGCCAACCGCCATTTACCAAGCCCTGAGCGTGTGCAGAATACCTACTGTGCGCCACTACCTGTGCCTGAGAGCATTTATTGAGCCCCTACTGTGTGCCACACCCTCTATTCAGCACATAAGACATACCCGCCCCAAGCTGAGGGGTGGGTCCCTGGGGTTCTGGGTGGCGTGAGGGGCTCCCGTGGCCGCACACCCCTGCACGGGGAGGGGCGAGGCAGGGCCGGTGGCGGGGGTCCCCGTGCGCTGGGGCGGGGGCTGCACGGGTCCTGCGGGAGGGGACAGGAAGGAGCGGGAGGCTCCTGTGTCTGGCGCAGGGCGGCAGGAAGAGCCGGAGAGGGAGCAGCGGCTGCGGCGGGAGAGGCCAGAACGCTGACTCGCCAGAATCCAGCGCCCAGATTTACAGGCCTCGGCCAGGCGGAGGCACCTTCTCCGCAGCGAGGTGGGGGCGGAGGGGACGGGG